CCAGAGGACATCAGGCCTTCAATTGGGTCCTCCATCTTTGGTCCCTAGGGCCATTTGGCCGATCTCCGGAACTCCACAAACAAAGCTCGAGACCAACTCGGGATCACTAGCGGCCACGTAGCTCCCTGTTTGGCACTATGGGCCCTGACCGACACAGGAGCCCCAGGCATTTTTCAGGGATACAGACCAATGCAAATTATGCCCCTCCCCTTCCCCCCCCCCCCCGCCATGCTCCTGCTCGGGAAATGGGACACCAGAATTCAGACTGACAGGGGCCAACTGTTCGGCGCTCGTGGTCTCTGGCCGACTGAGACACCCGCATTGTCTCAGGGGGTCCTCGAACAGTATAAGGGGACCTCCTTGTGATATTTCAGGTCACAACCATACAGGCTGTGATTTTTTATGTAACATACAGTCCGTCTTCGGCCCCTTATACCCTCCAACCGAGCCCTTGATTGTCAGTTCCGGTGGGCCAACCGGGACTCTCTTCGGGCCACATTGAAAACTGCCCTTGGTCGGGTCGGGACTCCTTGGGAACATAAGACCCTCTATTAGGCACTTCGGGATACTGACAGACACAGGTGCCTCAACCAGCGTAAATTGCCTGGCTGGCTTTGTAGCTGATTGGGAAGTGGGCCCTCAGACCCGTGCCGACACGGAGCCGACTGTGCGGTGCTGGTGGTGCTTGGTCAGAATATAGGCCTATTTCGACTCGGGGAGGGGGGGGGGGATGCACGATCGACGCAAAAACCGGTCTGGCTGTGATTTGAGGGTCCGTTCCCGCAAGTCGGAGCCCTGAACAAGACTCGGACGAGCCTTTCGTGCCTTTAAGCCCTCCAATCGAGGACTTGATCACCGATCCCGGTGGGCCCCAAAGGCACTTCGGGCCTCCTCAAACATTGCCTTTGGCTGACTCGAGCCCCTTGCCGACGCAGGGTCCTCTGTTAGACGCTGTTGGGCCTTGACAAACGCTGGTTCCCCGACCAATACAAATTAATGGCTCCTACTTTGTCCCTACATGGGGAAAAACGGGCCCTCAGGCTCTCTGGCTGGCGTTGGATGCTCCGGCCGTCCTTTCTGGCTCTTAAGCCGGGCCTATAATCGAAGGTATTGGGGGGCCTTCGGGCCCCCCGAGGCCTAAAGGACCCCTCGGGAGTGGAAAAGACCGCTCTAGACAGCACAATTTCTCTGTTTTGTGTTAAGGGTAATGTACAGAGTGTTCAGTAACAGTGTTAAGTAATATTTCTCCGTTCAAAATGGTGCCAAATGTGGCACGCTGCTGTCGGAACAATCGGCACCATCTTAGACATTTTTTTCATTAATTCTGTACACTCTTCCGTTCAAACATCGAGTTCACCCAAAAATTTACGATTTTTTCTTCACAACGTCAAAATGCCACCGATTGATTGCCCAGCCACTGCCACCGAGTAACTGAAGCAAAACTTGGAAAAGCGCACGTGCTGTGATCGCCGACAGTCAGCGGTATTTGATTCATATTTCGTTCATTCATTCGATGTGGTCCGAACAGCTGAGCCACGGTTACAGCAGCATGCATCAATGCACCCCTTAGCAGGTCATTCCACATATTAGGCAATGTGACAACCAGGTGACAAGGTGACATTAGAAGGCATAATCATGTTTTTATTTACATATACAAATTTGACGGTATCTGCCTAGAGTGAAGAGTAACTGACAGAGGCTGTGGTCGTGAGATTGTTTGCGATTGGCTGCTTAGGAAATACTTTGCCAAGGACAAACAGCACCATTAGTCTTTTTTCTATAGTGCTCGTGTGCTTTGTGTAATGGCCCGCTTCCCGGACATATATATGAACGACGTGAACGCGTGGTCAGCAGCGATCACCGTTTGTTTCGTAACACTGTTCAAATCAAAGACCAAGTACATGCGTGGCGGAATTTGGCGCTGCACCGGCTTGGCTGTAGGAATGCATGCCCGAGTCTCAACTGTTGTACTTGTAAGAAGGCTTCCCTGCTTCCATGCAGAGTAGAGGCTATGGACGTGATCTCCCAGCTCCCAGTTACCGTGATGTTCCGATGACACCACCTGAACTTGGTTTCTGGACTGTTGTGTTCTGATATTTCTGTCACACACGTTCTGAAAACGTCCATCTTTAAGCAAGTGAGACGCCTTCTGTCCACAACAATGCAATAATCTGCCAAGTGATTGATGCTCCCACATGGAAAATATTTTACCTGACTTTCCACATGGCTACTAGCCGACTCGCCCGCAGACCCATCTCGGTTTCGGAACAGTCCGGACGGACAATTTCGGCCATGTTGACCGGAGCTGCATCGGCCTCCTCTCTCAGCGGTGGCCTGCTCTCAGCCTGCTGCTCCGCATCCTCCACGCTTCGTGCGATCAAGAGAGCGGTCCCCAGCGTCAACTGCGTCTCGTTCAGAAGCCTACAACGTAAACGGTGGCTGCTACACTTGCCAGCAGTCTGGTTTCTGATCATGTCATTTTGTGTTTATTTATATTCACGAGCCTTAACTAGCTTCCGCAATATCGTAACAAGTCCAGATTCAATTCGCCTAGCCTCCGACTGTCCCTATGAAATACATGCCTCTCGCTTGTGACGTTCTACCTCTGCCAAAAAATGTGAACCCAATATTCTCAGAATTATTTCAAGACTCCATTGTAATACGTCGATCCACAAAAACGCGGCACATTCCCTGGAGTTCGGACTCTCCGAAATGCAAAAGCAAAACGATTTTACGTTTCTCACCCACGACATCCTTGACAATAAGGCAGAAGGAGAAAGATCGCTTCTAAGAGCTCCACTGGCTGGGTTCGGTGCACCCAAACGGTACTAACAATGCGAAAGCACGATCCATGTTCTAGAACGCAGATAACTACAAATAAGCCACCATCGCTGTCGCCAAATGTTTCATCCGCGACACCGTGCACCAAACGCACAGTTTTCCTGGCCCTACATTAGCCAGGCAGTCGGGTGTCGCCCGCCTCCCCCGCACCGACAATGACCGGGCGGCCGGGCCTGCCCACGACTCGATGCACTTCGGCATACATGCCCGGGGCTACATTTGCATTCGTTCTTCCGATGAGTGACCCACCAGCATAAGTGGGTAGGAACGAACGCAAACTGAGCACGCCTGAACATAAACGTCTGTCGATGAGGGATTTATATTGCCGGCCGATAATGCCTTCACAAACAAAATCGAGTGCACATTGTCGCACTCACATTGTGAAACTAAAAGCAACTTAAATTGGACGCAAGATCTTTGCAGACCGCTGCTACAGCTTTCCGCTAGCATCGAGTGAGACGCTGTCTAGGTGACGACCCAAAACAGTGGATTCCTTAGTCGGACAAGTGTGTTGATGTTCTACCAGCTGATAGCCCTATTCCAGTGTTATCGAATGCATGCAGTTGCGTTCTTCGCGCGCAATTGTAAGCATGTTTCCCGTACTGTCCTCTTCTGGCCATCGATCCATGGGTAGGCTGGGCGAAGTTAGCGATATGTAGTCATGAGGTGATGCCGTCAAGAAGGAACTGTCGGTCGTCGATCAATTTACCTTGCCAGCTAATAGCACATCCTTATAGCGAGCTTCCCTTCCCCAAACGCCTGAAGCTGCTCAAACCCACCATGTCATTGTCGGTTGAATTGAATGACGTGGGCTCTACTAACCAACCAAGTGATCGGAACGGACTATTGCGTACCTCGTCATGGGACGGTATAATGTACAGTTCGGTGGAATATCTACCACTTCATTGCACCATAAGAAATCATCACATAGTGTGCAGTGTGTTCCGGAACGAAAGTAATGTTGGTGTGATGTTGATCGATTTCTCCGAGGAAATCTAACGATGGGCAGCACAGCTTCCAAACAGCGGGTTTTCTTGATATGGAGAATGTTTTATTGATAACGCTCTGTAACTACAATTCCTGGTATACTGAAAGTTCATTAGTTTGAGCATGCCGCCTCCCAACCCTTAGTTAAAAAATGCCAAGAGTTGCAAGTACCAAGTACCAAGGCCTTTCTCGCTTTTATAGTTTTTAAGACTTGGCAACTCTTTGGCTGCGCTCTTTTTTCAAACGTTTCGCTCTGGTGATCATACACCAACTAACCTTTACATTATGTGTCGCTTCAATAATGTATTTGTCTCTTTAACAAGTCTTGCAGTTTGGTTTCATTTTTATGTAGGTGCATCTTGGCAGTGTACCCGATTTTTTACAACCCCCCGTGTGTACATGTCAGGTCATGTCATTTTGTATGACGCCGTCTTCTCTCGCCTCCGGCTATGTTTTTGAACGCAAAAGGGCACCTGTTTCGTTTGGCTATAGCCGGTCCATATGCTTTTTAAAATTGCATCCCATTCTAAGCTCGCTACCGAAATGCAGCTTTGCATTGGGTTTAAATGGAAAAGCCATTCCACGGCATCATGTTTTATTTGAAAATCCACGGACGTGAAAAGTCTCTTTAATTTTGACAGCGGGAATGCAAATCAAAGTGGTCTGAATTCAGCGAGAGTCAGGTTTTGGGATCAGGCTGGTCAACTTTATTAGCTTAGCCCCATCAGCCGATTTTGGAAAGGGATATCACGGCTGAGTCACAAGGAGGTGGAGAAACAGTTCCTGACAGTCTTAAAGGAAGCAGGCAGGAAAACCTCACTGAAGTTGCATACAATTCATGACTAATCAATTGCAGGCGTATTGATGTTACCAACGATGAGCAGAAGTGAAGGGCATAAGCCAACCAAAATCAAACTCGCTCAGGAATGTCGGCTCTCACTCACTCTCCCGAAATATTTATGGCCTGTACAACAACAGCAGAAAACTCTGACAATTGATGCATTCGGAGCAGCAGCATTTACAATGTATAGTTTCGCAATGGAATGGGTGTATTTTCTGGTATGTGTCTAAAAATACTTTGCTGAATCCATAAAATTTGGAAGCATTCATGGAAGAGTGCGGCAAAGCAAGCGCGTCTTGGGCGTAGCCTCTTTCGCTTCCGTTTTGGGTTACTCAGCGCTCCTGTGTTGGCTGGTCCGTGACAGGTCCTGGACTGCCCCGTTTATCTCAGCAAGAATGCCGATTTTGAACAGAAGTTGTTGCGGATGCAATCTTCAGAATGGGTCGATCATCTCAGGCTGCATTACTTTGGTGAGGATGATGGAAAGAGCTCGATAACAACCTAATTTGTCCCAGGTGTTTGTCATCAGCCAGTCTGCAACATGGGAGATTTCGACGGGACCCCGTTGGAACAGGGTCGAGTCAAAAATTTACTTTTTTGTCAGGTTTTGAAGATTTGGGGCAGAAATTCCGTTATTGACGCAGATCATGTTATTTTGGGGCAATCCATGGTACCTTTGAGTTGGTAATGAGTTGGGGCAAACATGGATGGAAACAGTAAATGCAATGAAGCGTGCAAGTACAAAACGGTGACAGTTTATGAAAGCAAGGGCAGATCAAAGTTCACATGCATCATATGTGTTCTTATTACATCATGCATGTCTTTGTGCAGTCATTTTATCTTGTCCAGCCCTGGATGTGGCTGTTTGCATACATAACACATAACCACCAATAAAATTGAAGCACCAGGCCAGATAACTTTGCAAGGACATTTCACTCACTTAAGTTTTGCTGCTTGTGCTGAACAGGTGAAGTCATCACAAACCTGTGAGATGTTCATGTTGTGAAGCATATGGTGCATTTTTGAGTGCTGCAAATTTGGTAACATTACCCTGCATTGCAACATATCAAGTTGTAATCTTAGTGTGATTTTAACTGATTGGACAGGGCAATAGGGATAATCAGTGCATGCAAATTAGATCACTTGATGAATCTTTGTTTGGTCGGATGCTATTGAATGGTCGGAGCCCCTCTGATCATACATCATTTGCTCCTGTTTCATGCAGGGATGGATGTCCCATTTGAGACAAGAGCAGACTAATATAAAATATCTTTTTGTCTGGTCTGCCACCTTTTGCAGGCTGGACCATTAGTGGTGGGGTGATCTTTTATTATACTAAAATAAATAAGTTTTCAATGATGGCTGTTCACCCTGCCTTTTTAGCATAACTAAGCTCCTTTTTTATAGTGATGCATTTAGAAACTAGAATCAGTATTTGCTAATAGGTAGGGAAACTGTATTATTCTTGTTTCATGCATTGCAAATTACCATTTGAAATGAAAATGTGTGTGGTGTTTGCCACAGAAACTGGCATGATGTATAATGTGGTCTTGTCATCTAAGTAACAATGCCTATGATAACCCTGGCAGTATGATAGCTATTAAGGCTATGGCTAAGAAAGTGTATTGATATGCAATTCCATCAGTCAGATGTCTATCAATGCCTTGGCAGGTCATTTGCATCAGGGTTAGCACAAGGATTAGGCATACCAAAAAAGGGTAATTTTTTTCTAAATTAAATGTTTACTTTTGGTAAGCCATCTGCTCTTTATTGCTGTTACTGAAAGGAGGTAGTGTCATTGTTTTAGTGCCACTGTATATTGATAAAAGTCTTTCCTAAGGATCATTTATATGTCAGAACTATTTGGAAATGCTGTGTACAGTACAAGTGGCCTAGATGAAAGATGTCATGTGAATTAGGAGTTGGAGTAACTGTGGACATATTGGAATGTCAGATTTTGTCCAGCCATTTTGATTGCCTTGCCTTTCCATTCTTTTTAATGTGCCCACAGTTGACACTGTTACTGACCAGGAAGGATACAGTTGAAGCCTGCTTTATCTTGCTAGCTGGTCCATAGTTGTCCAAGGCAGGGTGTAGCCAAGCTGGGGCCATGACAGCCATGGTCCCCAGAGTCTAGAGTTCTACACTGGATACTGGGTAGTTTGTAGGAATTTGATCCAAACTCATAGGATTTGGGGGGAAATTTGAGGTTTTCTCTTAAGGAAAATTTTGGCTTCATGTCTTTGTAAGGGTTTGAGGCATTATTGACAGCTTTTCAAGAGGCACATGGTATTTTCACAGAGAGGGTTTTGTGCGGGAAAACAGTCACAAACTTCTAGTTCTGAAATAATAATTATTTGCAAGTGTTGTGGAAATATGCCATATCATGTGCAGTGGTGATAAACATTGTACAATAAACTGCAAGTTATTGATCAAAAGTTACAAGTGAAGTTCCTTGCCATTCTTGTATATATATATATATATATATATATATATATATATATATATATATATATATATATAGCAGTTAGATCAGTGGCAGACTTGGCAGCAGACAGTGTTAGATATGTGTTAGATATCAGTGACATCAGTGTTAGATATGACATGTATTTATAATTGTTGCTTAAAAGAGGTGTCCCTCAGTTTATGGGGTTTTGGTTATGTTAATGGCATTTTGAAGTGAAATAGCCATCCTGAAGGTTATTTTTGTGCAATTCAAAGTCCTGGGGCTGTGAACAACCTTTGACATATACCTGGGTGGCCAGTTGCTAGGCCCTTTGCTAGGGTGGGGGGTGGAGGGTGACAATTTGGTCCCAGGATATATTTTTAAAAAATGTCTAAGAGCTGGAGATGCCAAGTTCACAGGGTAGGTTTGCCTCTATATGAAATCATTTGTGTCAAAATTAAGGCTTTTTGGGCTGTTGGGGGACACTACTTTTGACTCTTTCTGTCTTTTATGATTTCTTACTGGCTTAAACTGGCATATGCACAAACCCCACTGATGAGTGGCACCATTGGCAGTGAGATTATCATGGCATGTGTATTGTGCATTGTGTTATAGTGTCTGCATTGTCTCTGGTCAAGACTAAGATTAGATATGCTATGTCACATGGAACCTACTGCCATGTGGTAGCCAACCTCCATTAGCTTAGTTCGGGAATGCTGATTTTAATCATTTGAAATAGCGAAGGTGAGAGCTCAGCGGGATGCGTAAAGCACATGAGTATTTGACATTGGGAAGTCAGGTAATGCAGTTTGTGGAGATTTTTGTTGAATGCTTCAGTTTTTCCAGAATTGGGCTTGGGCCAGCATGATTTATGGACAGGTCTCAGCTGATGTAATTAGTATGTCATCTGTCCACAACACAGGTTTTCATGTTTTTGTAATTATGCTGACCTGAGTGATGTATATGACAACTGGATTCACTATTTTACTCTTCAAGATTTTATGATGGTATGAAAAGTTATTGACCAATACTTTTGCTTCCAGTAGTATTGTGCTGACCCCATTAATGTATATGACAGTGGGCCTCAGCATTTTGCTTTTGGGACTTAATGATGGTATGCAAAGTAGTCAACAAATATTTTTATTCTGGTAGTATTTTTTACACCTATGTTGTTGCCCTGTTTATGCATGGTGCTTTTGGTGTGTGCTTCTACATTGCTGGAATGTCATAGCATGAATGATGTTTGCTGCGCTCTTGGCTACAAGAACTTGATGCATCATTGATACTTGTATGATATACAGATGATGATGCATAATCAAACCAATGACTAGTGACTGACACAGTGACCAGACCAATGACTGCCACATTTAGGCATTGAGCTTTGACTTTTTCAATGTTGGTTTAATTCATTATTTAAGCCATCCATTGGTGCCAGGTGGATGTCATATTGAATAGGGGCCTGCTCTTTGAGTTGCCATCATCCATCTGGTGCATGACTGCACAAAAGAAGATATTTCATAGATGGAGAATTAACAATGCACACAAGATTTCTCCATCAATCATTTGTGTACTGGCACATGTGAAATGAATGATGTGTCCCACCTAGATCAGGTTATACATCAATGATGTATATAAACCTAGTGATGTATATAAACCTGTCCCACAGCTGGGTGGCCTGGTGTACTTCATTGGGCTGGTCCTGATGCTGGTCTTCAACAAGGAGATCGAGGATTACATGGATACCCTGAAGGAACAACACTACCTGTCATTCGACCTTACTGGGTTCATGAGTAAGTGGGATGGGTGGTGAAGAGTCAGTTCTCCAGCTCAGGTGGCAACAGGCGCGGATGACGCTCGTCATCAAGTAAGGATGGGATTAGGGCTGCGGATTAGCCCGCGTGCGCGCGCCACTGTTGTTCGCTGGTCACGATCGGACCGGAAATGAGGACCCGCCCCTGCTCGGCGCGGGAACTGCAAGAAATCTCACTGATCACTTTTTAATGTAGGCACCAAGCATCGTGAGGCGCGAGGCGGGAAAAGGGCAAAGCAGGAGCCGAGGCTAAGGTTAAGGTATCCTGATTCTGAGATGATCCATGCAAAAGTAGCGCCAGATTTATAGAATTCCCGTCCCAAGTCAAGCAAGAGGATCTCTGGTCTAGGCCAATATACCGAAATATAATAAGCCAATCAAGGAGAAGCTTTTATTGTGTGAAAGTGCGGAACAGCGTTGTCCGTGGGCGGGACAGCAAAGTGTACCACTCTCCGCGGGGTCTCCTTGCCAGACCTTCCAGCATGCTGGCAAAGGTATGGCACAAAGCACTTGCCACCGCAATGCCTGGTTTTCTCCAGCTTGTCGGTGGTGTTGCATGCGTGGGAGAGACGGTTACTGAGTGTTCTCGTCCACCAGGCTGGTTCACCATGGTGATCCTGTCGACTATTCTGGCCTTCGTCTACCTGATCTTCACCTGCCTGATGCTGTACGGCTGCCGTGAGGTAAGGAGGAGATACCCCGGCCGCCGTGAGGTAAGGAGGAGATACTTTGGCTGTCGTGAGGTAAGGAGGAGATACCCCTGTTGCCGTGAGGTAAGGAGGAGATACTTTGGCTGTCGTGAGGTAAAAAGGAGATACCTCGGCTGCCGTGAGGTAAGGCGAGGAGACCTCGGCTGCCGTGAGGTAAGGCGAGGAGACCTCGGCTGCCGTGAGGTAAGGCGAGGATACCTCGGCTGCCGTGAGGTAAGGCGAGGAGACCTCGGCCGCCGTGAGGTAAGGCGAGGAGACCTCGGCTGCCGTGATGCGGGGAAACCTCGGCGGCGCCCGGCGCAAGATAACCTGCGATCGGGCACGAATGTCTGGACAGATGTCGGATTGTGTCAGTCTCTATTCAGTGGTCCACAAACATCATTTTACCCAGGCGTTTGTATGTACCGGCGCCAGATTTGGGTTCGCAGTTTGGGCTTGGCACTGAAGGTACACAGTTTGGACTTGGACATCGGTTGACATGACATTCAATAGTCACCAGACCAACAGTTTAAATAGCTACCAGTCACCTCACTATTTTGATTTCGGAAGGAGAGGGGGGGGGAGGGGGCAGGGATAAACGATGTCGGAGGCACGCTAAAACAGTTGAATCTGACCAACGCACGCTGCCATTGTAGCGAGACAGCAGGGTCCGTACGCTCTCTTCCCTTCCTCCGGTAAGAAGTATCCCCTCCCTCTTGTCGGGGTATATGCATATGTAGTATCCATGCAATGGTCCAGGTCGCAAGGTGCCTTTATAACCGCCGGAAGATTGCTTCGGGACATCATAAATAGGTCCGTTTCCTGCCACAGTCTGATCATTTGAGCTGAAGTGTCAATAAAAGAGGAAGTTCCCATTCAAGTTCCGATATATTTTTACTTGGTTTAGTCCTATTAATACACCCGTTAAGCTCTTAAAGGAAGTTCCCAGTCCGGATTAACGTCTTAAGCTCCATCACATCACCGCTCCATCAGCGCCGCAGGTAGAGGCACATGCACGCTAGTCAGTGGGCGTGGCGGCCCTGGGGTTAGAGTGAAGCTGCCTGGATGCCAGAGACCCCGATGTATGGTGACGTTTGTTGGGCGCGGCGGCGGCCGGAGGGGGCCGTACTGTAATCTCTTGCCGGCTGCTGCGTACTATGCCGTGGCGCCCCTCCAACCCCGCGTCCGTGCCGCCCATGCTGCACCGCTGGCCCGCCGCCGGCTGTAGGGCCGCTGATGCCCTGAGCCCCGCCGGTGCTCCGGTGCTAGTGCTAGCCCGTCCGGCAGCAGTGGCGACCAACGGCGACTGGCGACGCGTCGGAGTCCGCTGGCGGCGGCGCGTCAGAGTCTGCTGGCGGCGGCGCGTCGGAGTCCGCTGGCGGCGACGCGTCAGAGTCCGCTGGCGGCGGCGCGTCAGAGTCCGCTGGCGGCGGCGCGTCAGAGTCCGCTGACAGCGGCGCGTCAGAGTCCGCTGGCGGCGGCGCGTCAGAGTCCGCTGGCGGCGGCGCGTCAGAGTCCGCTGACAGCGGCGCGTCAGAGTCCGCTGGCGGCGGCGCGTCAGAGTCCGCTGACAGCGGCGCGTCAGAGTCCGCTGGCGGCGGCGCGTCAGAGTCCGCTGGCGGCGGCGCGTCAGAGTCCGCTGGCGGCGGCGCGTCAGAGTCCGCTGGCGGCGGCGCGTCAGAGTCCGCTGACAGCGGCTGCGCGTTTGGCAGGAGCGGCGCGTCTTCCTTATGCCCTGGATGCTGATGACGACACTGGAGGTCTTCGCCGTGCTGGTGGGCATCATCATGGCACTGGTCAGCCTGGGTGACTTCCAGCCGGTCTACAGCGCGATCACCGGTATCATCGGCTTCATCGCCGTTGGCTGGTAAGTCTGGCCCCCGGTCTTCTGTCCGGGACGCGAGCACTTCAGCGGCGCCGGTGATGCGTGTACTGAGTCCCATGAACCTGGCTGCTCCGATCAAGGCGTGCCAGCTCAACACGATGATAGTCATCATTATATCTCTCTGCAGCATATCACTTACAGTTTTATGGTACACGGTACGTGGTTACTTGGCATAGCGCGCCCGCGTTACTAGTGTTTGTTGTTAGCTTCTGGATGCACGTTTCTGGGGATGGAAAGTATATCGCACATTTCAGTGTGTTAGCGCCGTGTGTTGAAAAGAACGTGTGCATCTGGGTAAGGTACACTTAGTTTTAGCTCCGCTGCTCCGCCGGGTGCTATGGACGCTTCTTGCATCGTTTCTTCATCGGTGGCGAAGCTTCCGTGGGACTGTCCTGCTACTCACACTGTATTTTCGCGTTTACAGCTACGCCTACATGCTGCTGATCGTCGTCAGCTATTATCAGTACCTGAAGGACACCCAGGATGGATACTATCCGCCTACAGAGATGAGCAAGCACTAGGCGGGCCGCTATGGCGACCGGCGCGCTGTTGCCATGGCAGCAAACCCCGCTGGCGTCACATCAGCTGGCTGTTGCTGAGGTTGTCGCGTGTTTACCAGCCGAACGGCCCATGCGAAAGGGAGTATGATTGGGTTGAAACATCAAAACAGAGAATAGGACTGGGGATGATCATTCAGCAGCTTCCTGAGAGCAAAGAAGAGAACGATGAACAATGCCTTGACGTCTTCCGGAAAGGGCATGATTTCGCTTTAGAAGATCTTATTACGATTCTTAACACCGACATGTGCATGCTGTGTTTCAAGCGCAGTGAACCTGACGTCGGTACCTCAGCGGCTCTGCCTTTTGCAGCAGCCATCACTAACTTCGCTTTGTTTGTGCCGCCCGTCTGGTGAAACGCGGAGAACGCTGCTACGATTTACCATTAACGCCAGCTGATTGTCAAGGCCCGAATGACACGCTTTTTTCCCGCGGCATCCCACTTTCGACGTGATCCATCCCCTCCGATCTGGGCCACCCCGGCCC